CTTGTCCTGCTCTAAACTTTTCAGGCAATCTATTAGTTTCTTCTTGTAACCACTTCCTGGATCTCTCTTAAGCGGCTCGTACGTATGTGGTCGTGTCGCTAAGGAGTGTCATCTTCTTATCTTCAGCAATTATGCTTAATCGTACATATATGACATCGTAAATTTTTTAAACAAGGTCAAAGTTACCTAAAGACAACAAGAGCGTTGCATCTCATAATAAGTTATTAAATTTGGATAAAACAAATTATGTGATATTTAGTAATAGAAAGAAAACAACTGATGTTACATTTAGAGTGGATGGTGTTGAAATTAGCAGTCAGTGAGGTCAAGTTTTTGGGAGTCATTGACGAAAAACTGACATGGAAACCTCATAAATTACTACTGCAGTATTGTATAAAGTTAAGGAGTTATTTAATGATAAAGCACTGTTTATACTATATAATGCAATAATTGTTCCTGTTTTATGAAATATCAGACTAATAATATTTCATTCGTTATCTACATTTATTAAACCAGGTTCGTAAAGCGTYGKCRCTCTGAGTGGAAGAAATGAGGACGACACAAGAATTCACACACAAAGACGAGCTGCTAGAAATCAATAGTGTCAATTTATTATTTCCCCACAGCAACAGCAAGCAGCACATTCAATGCTTACACACACAGGTTGATGCAAAAATAAAAACAGGAACACAAAGCTCTCACCTGAATGACACAAGATTAGAGAGCCCGATAATCTCAAGGTTCGAACACAGGCATCAACCGGATGACCGCGCGTCTGGATCCACTGACCGTCGGTCCGACTCTAAATCTGRGTGTGTCTGACTCCCCTTCTTATCCCCTCAAACTTCATGAGTGTGTATGCACRCGCGGACCTGGCCAGTGTCCGCACGTACACCCACTGACTTCATGAGGAGACAATCCGTAAGAGTCAGACCCAACCAGATACAGTAAAATACAGCTTCAATTTGGCTTTACTTCTTCAAAACATGTCAAAATGATAACAAGGACCAGGCGAAACAACTCCAAATATGGCTCAGAGAGCCATGTCAGGATGAGAAACACTTGTTTAAACTCAACATAAAAACAGAAAACCTTGTATGGTTTATTTACTGGTTTAAACTCTTAATACTGAGAAGTAAATGTACATTAATCAAAGAACATTTTATTCTTATATCAGTTCCACATTTGATTTATTGTAAAGAAGTCTGGGGAAATGCACGTAAAACCATTACTAATCCTATTTTTATTTGACAAAAATGAGCCATAAGAATTATCACATGAAAGCAATACTATCACCCATCTAATACATTGTTTCATCAGTTAAAATTATTAAAATTTTATGAGTTGGTTGAATATCATATTCTGCAGGCTATAAAGCTCATAAAAATGTGTTACCTTCAAACATCCAATCTAATTTTGTTAAAAGGGAAAAGCTGTTATATTTTGAAGGGACTACAAATTTTTGTTAAACCAAAAATCCAAATAAATTTGAAGGACAGATGCACTTCAGTAAAAGGTATAAGACTATGGAATAATCTGGAAAATTATTAGAAAAATACTGGATCAATTCCTTTAAAAATGATCAAAGCAAATTTGTCAAAGAAATATGAAATTGCTTACTTTGTATTTGTATGAGTTACTGTTTGAGGAGTTGAATTTTTGTTTATTATTGTTTGAAATTAATATTTTTTGTAAATAGGCGCAGATATAAGATTTTTTCCGTCTTCTGCTGCCTTTCATTTCATTTTATTTGATTTGCATTGTTTTGTTGTATGTAATGTGTTTTTTAATGAAATGAACAAATACTAAATAAATCTGTCTACTTAACCAGTTAATTTCTATTGTGTTTGAGCAAATGATGTCATTTTATTGAAGGGTGGGGGGTATATTGACTGGATCAAACTGTGGGGGTCATAACCTTCCTGCAAATTACGCCTATGGGGCCAGATGTGGATCTTGAGCCACCAGTTGAATAGCTGTGTTGAATAGCTCTGCACAAAGAAGTGCATTAAAAATCTGATGTAATTAAGACTGAAGATAATTTGTAGTTTTTTTTGTCATCAGTGTTTTTATTAATTGTCATCACTTAAAATTATGTTTTTGTTCAGAGAATTAGTTMTTTAATTCACACAGTCAAATTATACCAATGCACTGTCAGAATAGTGTTTTGAGCCAATCTGACAYACCAATATCACAACTTTTTCTTGTTGTGTTTATAATTACTTTATACTAAATGCATATAGTCATGGGTATAATTACATACCTTTTAAGAAACATTAAATAAAGCTAACTGATTTGAGTCATCGTAGGGTCAAATGAACGAGTCACTCATTGACCTCTACCTCCCGTCCTTTGTTCTCATCTTCCTCTCCTCTGGCACTTCCTTCCTCAGCCCACACAGAAGCCATGGTGGACAAGACGGACCTGGTTCAGAAAGCCAAGCTGGCCGAGCAGGCGGAGCGCTACGACGACATGGCCGCGGCCATGAAGGAGGTCACAGARGAGGGCTCGGAGCTCAACAACGAGGAGCGCAACCTGCTCTCCGTTGCCTACAAGAACGTGGTGGGGGCCAGGAGGTCCGCGTGGAGGGTGATGTCCAGCATAGAGCAGAAGACGGACAACCCCAAGACCACGCTGGCTAAGGAATACAGAATAAGCATTGAGAAGGAGCTGAATGACATCTGCAAAGATGTTTTGGTAAGAAACTGATGAGGAAATGAGCAAAAAGCYATGGAAGGAAGCAAATRTTTTCATTTTGATCATATCTCACTGAAAAAGTTTCTTTGCCACACTTGTACCGAGCAGATTTAAGATAAATTGTCGGAGTCGACTGTCAATTAAAGCCACGTTCAGTGTCTGTGTCATACGTTTGTGTTAAAGTTGCACTCTTCACTGGCAGGAACTGCTTGATAAACATCTCATTCCTAAAGCGACACCTGCTGACAGTAAAGTCTTCTACCTGAAGATGAAGGGAGACTACTACCGCTACCTGGCTGAGGTGGCAACCGGGGAGGACAAGGAGGGTAAGAAAAACACCTTTTTATGCTTCATTTCAGAGCTGATTCTTGTTCCGTTTCAAACACGGAACTTTTATTTACGGACTCGTCCGCTGTTCTTTGTGAAATCCTATAAAACATTCTGAAGTATGGAGACACCCGGGCTGTTCCAGGTGTTCGTGGCCAGGATGCTTACATCCTCTCCGTCCTTGACCTACAACTGCCAGCTGTAGCGGAGGCGTGGGCCGCTGCGTTGTCATGGCAGCAGGAGTGGCGCCAGGCTGTTGGCTGATGCTGTTGCCGAGAGGCGTTTTAGAGTTTCTGTGATGGCAGTGGGCCGTGCCAGAGTGGCATTTTTTTTTACACTTTGTACTCCTAATTTTAGATCGACTTAATTGCCTTTTTGAGGCAGGTTAATTAGATCTCCTTCAGTCTCATATTTTCAACAAAAACAAACACAAAACATTGTGTGTTGTTTCTATTGAAAATCCATAACAAACCCCTTTGGATGGTTGGAAGCCCTGTTCAGTCATCGATCCATAATTCTATAATAGGGCCTCTTTCCGCTTATAAATCAATGGTGGGCAGTTTCCACTCAGATCCTGATTATCTGAAATGTGTCATCATTCTCACAGGAGTTATCCTAATAAATTTGTCCCGATGTTTCCGAGAAGCTTTTCTTCCGTCCTCCATCTCCAATCTATTTTAGAGCTGTACCAGTTTAGTTTGGAAGATAAAGTGGTTTTCTTTCTGGGCACATTTGATGTCTCGTTTGTTGTAATGAGTTTTGCACGTTAGTCCAGTTTTTGAATCACTGAATAGATGCAAACATTGACCGAGGTGGTGCAATTACATTTTTGTCACCGAACTTTAATTTATTGTTTTGTTTTACAAAGTACCTGCTTCTTTACTAGTCTGATTGTCGTTTTATGAAGCCATCATCAACAACTCACAAGATGCCTACCAGAAGGCGTTGGATATCAGCATCAAAGAAATGCAGCCCACACATCCCATCCGTCTAGGCCTCGCCCTGAACTTCTCCGTCTTCTACTACGAGATCGTCAACTCGCCTGACAAAGCCTGCCAACTGGCCAAATCGGTAAGAACCTTTCTTTAATCACAGTAAAGTATAATTAGATCACATCAAGCTGGAAAATAACACAGGTTTATGGAGTTATATGTGCCTCGTCACCTCCAACCAAGGATTAAATTAGAAGTAGGGTAGAGAGAAAATAGGCAGTGCGTTGCTAGAAAAATTAGCGACGATTGGATGCTGTCAAAATGTGATGAATAAAATTACCTTTTATGTATGGGTCTCTTGAAAGAAATGTTCAAAATATAATCCTAAAGAAAGTTTTAAAGCACTTTACTGAGCAATACCAACAGCTACAGTTCATTTTGAGTGAAGAAGCCCTAAAAAATTTGCATTTTTCCCTGCGCACAAGTCAAGCTACTTTAAATACCAGCTGAGAAATCTTGATATCCAAATATGGTCTGAGGTTTTATCCTTTCAAATGACGTAAAAAAAACAATCCTCATTAGAATACACTAAAATTAGGATTCAGACCAGTTTTCCAGGTGACGTATTAATTAGCAAGATAAATTAAGCCTTATCTCTGATCTCTGTAACCGCTCAGGATGATCCAGTGCTTAGTTTCTTTTGACCAAATTCAGTCTAATCAATTTGATGTAAAGAGTCCAATTACAACAATTTGTGCCATGTTTCTGTTCGTTTGAAGACAGATATATTTTTAAAAWTTGATATTTTGTACTTTTGCAGAAGGAATTCTTATTAATATTGCCTCCTGGTTGCCAAATAATTGTCAGTTTTGTTTTATTTACTGTTCRAGAAGATCCTAAATGTCATTTTGAAATTTGGTATGCTTGTTTGTCTTTGTGTCTATGGTGTGTAATGATGTGATTGTGATGCTGTAATTCTGAGTGTTTTATGTGCTGCAGAACAGGAACCTGCTGTAAAACAGCAATTATGCTGAGTCAGGCTTGATTTTTAATAATCTTTTCYTGTTAAATAAATAAATAAATCAAATCAAATCAATCTTCTCAACAAGAACAGTCGGGGGTTCCCCTCCTTTAGTCACCGATAGCTCATACAACCTGAGGGATGGGGGTGTGGTCTCATTTTATCCTTCATGTCACCTGAGAAACACCTGCTTTGTTCCTGACCGGACAAACCACAGGAAATGATATAATGGAAAATTTTAAGTGGTTTTGAAACCGTGCCCTTTTTTTATACTGTGGTTTATCTTGAAACTGGCTCATGTTTTCTTACAGGTTTCTAGTTTCCAGTTTGCTCAATACAGAAACCAGAAAGAAAAAAATTKTTGTAATTAAAACAAAAACACAGTAGTGAGTTATCAAAAACAACAAGTTAACATTAGCCACCAATAGCTTAAATTTCTCTGCGTCTTCTCGTCTTAAGCGTCATACTGCTGGATGGTACCTTTTGTTTGAGTTTGGTGTAGTTCATTGTTGACATGTTGCAAATAAAATGGAATAAGATTTGCACCAAAACTAAGATCCTGCTCTTATCAAGGTGRCTCTCTGCTCAAAGCAAACACAACCAGGGCTGGAGGAGAGTAAGGYTGGGCCGAGTCAGGCCTGACAATGCAAAAATGCCCAAAGTGTTGCATACAGTTATGGACACACACCTTCACAGATACTTATAGTGACTGTTTGTAGATGTGTGTGTATGTATGTCTAGCTTGCCAAAGGAATGTTTGACATTATAATCCAAGGCGATGTGTGCTAAGTAATCTCTTTTCATTGCTAACAGTTTCTTTGCAATGCATTAATTTTACAGGCATACGGTGAAAATAATATTGCACAGCATGATTTTTACGTGGTTCAAAAATCACGTTTTCTCACCCACTTTTGCAACTGCAAAAATGCGTCCAAAACGACATTTGCATTTACAGCCAACGTCACTYTGTGTCCCTCGTGATTTCTCTGGTGTGGAAGACTTGATTTCTTTTTAATAACTTCACTGAACTGATGGATTTCTTTGCCTCAATGTTGGCTGATACAGCAGAAATGTCTTACCACATGTCTGTGGTAATGTCATCAGCTTCACGTCCTCCATTTACAACCGTGTAGGTTGTTGGTGGTTTCTTTACCCTAGGTTACATGACCTTTTTTATGCAGCGATCATATAGGAGTCACGTGTCAGTTGTGAACAGTTACTTTGACTGACAACGCTCTTATTTTAAGCTGGTTATGTGACTTTTCTCTCTCTCCTTCAGGCCTTTGATGAAGCCATAGGCATGCTGGACTCCCTCAACAGCGACTCTTACAAAGACAGCACCTTGATCATGCAGCTGCTCCGTGACAATCTGACAGTGAGTGTCTCGACTTCCTTCACGTTGACTGCCCTCTGCTTTCTGCTTTTGAGGAAAACATATTAAACCCCTGTATTTTTTTTACTTTATTTTTATTTTTTTAATTCAGCTGTGGATGTCAGATACACAGGGAGAGGGTGAAGGAGAAGAGACGGAGCAGCCTGCTGAGAAGAACTGAACTTCAGAAAACAGAAGAGAGAACGACACATTTTTTACCTCTCACCAGCCTAAGTTGTGCGCGTGGTTGTGTGCACGCATACACGCACAGTTTACACTTCACTCACAATGTGTAAAGTACAGTGTGTGTGTGTGTGCAGATGCATCGAWGTGCGTGTGTTTTGTGTGGTAACTGTACGAGCATGTCGACAGAGGACAAGAATGGAATATATTTGCTTTTCTTCTGAACATTGTGTGACTTTTTGTTTCGTTTTGTTTGCTTTAGTCCAGACGAGATCCCTCCTTTACATCCGCCCCATGATGTTTAACATTATTCTGTGTAGCAAACTCCTGCTGCGGCAGGAAAACAAACCAACCTCTTAACTGTCTCTTCAGACAATTTCTTATGTTTTTACTTGAACTGAACATTTACCATGTTTGCGACACTTTGTTCCGGTTTCTTTGAGCGGTCCGTCTGACAGCAGCAGTGAATATAAACTGATGGAAGGTTTCGTTGAAGCTCTGTCTCCATAGTGCTCGTATCTATCCTGCCCTGTCAGTGTCCAGTGTAGCAGGTAGTGTTTTTTATGGATGGTACATGCGTCAATTCGATGGGTTGTACGTCTTTTTCCATCAGTGTTTCCTTGTGAATGACCACTTACAATTAGGTTGATTTTTCTTTTTTTTTGTTGAGAGGATTATATTCTACAGTGACTATAATTTCCTGCAGTGTTTCRTACCACATAAGTTAAAAGCAGCCTAAAATAACATGAACTTGATTAAAAACTAAAATGGCTCGATACTGTAACTTTTTTGATATTTTATCTCTTCAGCAGCGCAGAGRATACTTTTGCCATGTGGCTTTCTACTCTTTTTCTATTTGGGTATTTTTTTGTATTTTTTCTTCATTTTGTTCCCTTTTTTGAATTTGACTCCTGGAATGTATGTGATTCTCAGTAGTATGGTGTGAGGGTTAGACATTATAAACAGGCGGTTTTTGGCTTAGGATTAACCTTAACCTGGTGTCTTAAAGTAATTTATCCTTTTTTTAGTGCATCATGAAAAGATGAACTAAACCATGTGAACTTAAATATATAGTGATTATTGAAGTAACTTGGTAGAAAGCTTCATTAAAGCCATTTTGTAGTCACAAAGTAGTGCCAGTTTCTTCTAATTACAGTACCTTGTTTTTTAAAAGGTTGGGATTCAGAATTTACAAACATTTTGAGTGCATTATTTGGTTATGTGCTTTCATGTAAGTGGAATTAAAATGTTCAAACTTAAGTGTGCTGGTCTCCTTTTCTGTTCGTGTATAACAGATTTCAGTGACAGCCTGTTTACCATGATTTAGGAGATTTAAAAGAACACACAAAACCTAAATTCTGCAGCAGTCAACGTTTATTTATGTTTTGTTTTTAAGTTTTTTTTTTCACAAGCAATGCTGCCCTCTACTGATGTTGATGGTAAATAGAATCAGGCACAAAATTTTCTGGTTAATCCAGTTACTGGCCAAAAAAAGAAAAACATCAACAATCATACTTACAGTAAATAAAGGTCTGGACTGTGGAAAGAAGCCTGTATTCTGAGAAATCTATCGGCATACAAAAACTTGTAATTTCTTTAACTGAAACTTTACTTCAAATTAGTTACCTAAAACCTTACATTCTAACCATACGTGCTTATGTTTCCAAAAACATGTTGCTTTATTTGACTATAAACAAAGTTTTCTGTGTCGATTTCACTTTTATTCTAGCTTTTGTCACTACATTTTTTGCTGTTGTTTTGTGGCTCCTTTTTTTTTTTTATCAGTGAACATCTGTTTTGTAGCTATGCTGAGTCAGCGTTCACACCATTTTCCTGTGTTTTTCTCAAGCTACTGCATATTTGTTCTCTTTTAGTTGTTCATGTATCAGTTGTCCAGCTGAATCAGAAGATAGGTGCTACAACCTTTGTTTTTCTACAACACATCCCCCMAAAAAATATCTGTTTACAAATATTTTCCCACTAGAAATATTCAAAGATCTCTTTAATAACTACAAAAAACGTTCTTGCAGAAAACTTTCAGCATACATGTTTTGTTTTTGTCTTAAGCTTCCTTTTGCTACTGTTAGCTTTCAGCCAGTCTTGCTACATTTATCATCTACTTTAAGGCTACTCTTTGTATTTGTAGATTTAAGTTGGCATGACACATTTAGCTTTTACCCCATGATACTTTTAGTTTATATCTAGCCTTTGTTTATGTATGTTTACCTAGTCATACTATTGTTAGCTTGCCTTCTGATATGTTTAGCTAGTCTGATACTACTTTTAGGTACCCGATACCTTTAGCTAGTCTTTTGCTGCTTTTGTGTTACTTCTTATAGCTAGTTAATTTTAGCTTCTGCAGCAAATTAGTCATTCACATCACATTTTTTCTAGTTATTCTTTAATCTTGATTTGTTTTTTTTATTTGACTTTTTCGTCTACATTTCTTATATGTCCGATTTGTTCATTATATAACTCAGGATGGGCTGTAAACCCCTTTTCAGGCGCCACAAATGCCCATTTGGTGACTCAGCAATGAGTTACTCATTAGAGATGACTAACTCATTACTCTCAGGAAGGGAATTATTTGGAAAGCTTGTGTGATAAAGGACGTTACTCACAGGCTGCCTTGTAAGTCGTCTCCACCATTATCCAGAAAAAAAACTAATCATTTTTCTTAACGTGACTGAAGTGGGGTTTGATGTCAGTCATCTGTTTTTACATGATTTCATCATCATCATGCGCACGGTTGTGGTACCGCCCCTTAGTTGACGTTGCCTAAAAATACTAAAAGGCTATTGGTTCATTTTAGTGACGCAATCACTGGTATTTAAAGAAGCAGCCTCCCATCTACTTCCTTCCCTTCAACCCGGCTGTCGCTGTGTGAGTGCGCGTGTGCTCTGAGCTCGCTCGGCACGCGTTCTAAAAAAATAAAATAAAAAATACAAAAAAAAATTTCAAAATATAAAAAAGCTAAAAAATCATTTTTTTTCTTTTTGCAACAAGTCTGTGAAGCAGGAGCATTTGAGGACTGGACGGTCACGGTAACGTACGAAAGGGCTAGCTAAATCACCGACTAGTTTTTTTTTTTAAATTATCGGTTTTCAGTCGTAAAGCGGAGTCAAGTAATAAGAAGTGCGACAGATTTAAGCGACAGTCGTCATTTTGGAACCCAGTACATTCGAACCCAAGCCGTTCCTGACGAGTCACGTTCTCGTTCTGACCGACGTGACCGTTTGAAGCTTCGCAACTTTTTTTTTTTTTTTTTAAATTTCTCCGCCGGTAGAACTCGACTGTCGTCCTGTTAGCATCCACAGCTAAAAAAGACGATGAATCCCAGCGCTCCCAGTTACCCCATGGCTTCCCTGTACGTCGGGGACCTGCATTCGGACATCACCGAGGCCATGCTGTACGAGAAATTCAGCCCAGCCGGAGCCATCCTCTCGATCCGGGTCTGTAGGGACATGATCACCCGGCGGTCCCTTGGATACGCCTATGTCAACTTCCAACAGCCAGCGGACGGTAAGTAGTTCAATAAACACCAAGAATGCTCCGAAAAGGAGTCCATAATTATGTTTTCTTAAAGCCTGAAATGTTTTTTTTTTTTCACGTGAACCTCCCCGAGCCGGGGATCCTCCCAGGACAGGGGCGTATCAAAGAAATACCACGTCCTCCCACAGCCCACCTCAGACATGTGGTCAACTGAAAGAGTTTTTAATCACCTTTTTTGTTYAGATAACACCCCAACAAATCTTCTCATTTGGATTGCTAATCATTCATGTGTTGGCTTTGGCATTTATCGTTTATTAGATTGGGGGGGGGGGGGGGTTAATAAGCCCTTTGTAGGGCTGCCACACGATTATTTTTATAATCGATTAATCACCGATTATTTTTTCGATTAGTCGACTAATCAGATCACACGTTAATTGAATATAAAACATGGAGCTTATCGCGCCAGAATGCAGCTGCTATTATAAAAACATGGTTAGATTTTAGCTATATGCTAACTAAAAATAACTGCTGTGGAAGGCAAGTTCTGCTCTGCAGATATTGCAGGTTTCTCTTTAATTTTCTTTAAAAAAGTTCCCACACTTTTGAGCTCCGTAGCCAGGTAGCCATGATACCAGAGCCTGTCTGTATAATGTCTTGTGACGTCCACGGCCTACCCCAGTTACCACTACTGTGCATGTGTGTCAAGGACAGAAAGGCAGATGTGGCAGTGGAAGGTGTCAAAGCAGTTTGGAGAGAAAAACAAAGTAAAGAACAAAAAAAAAAAAAAAAGAAAACGATTAATCGATTATTAAATTAGTCATCGATTATTTTAATAATCGATTAGTCGTCGACTAATCGTGGCAGCCCTAGCCCTTTGTACTAAGAAGAGCAGATATCTACTCCTAACTTAACATTTTCTGCATAGTGATGATAAGAACACGAGGTTGCCTCTGCCCTTTTGCTCTGTTGGGTGTGTTTTCACACTGAGCYGTTAAAGTTCATACTAACACTGTTGTAGTGTAAGTCAATTGAGTTTTGTTTTTACCAAGAAACTTTTTTTCAAGCATTATGTTCAGAAAGAGTAAGTTTATTTTTTGTTGCTGTGGAACAGATGGTTCAGTCTCACCACAGTTGGCTTCAGTTTTGATGGTTTTCCATATAACTTGTGGGCAGGATTGCCTAAAACATCTATGCAAAACACAAGGGCAAATAAGTGAAATAAAGTCACAAAACACTTACCGTCCTCTGGCACAGTTTCCAAAAAAAAATGTCAACTGAAGCCGAAGTGTTGGAACACTTGCACAATAGGTTTAAATCTAAGACTATCTTATGATGATTTTTAGTTGTTAGAAATGAAATCAAAAAGCCTGGAGCTCACCTTTTTAGCCACAGAAAGACACCAAAGCGTCTTTCGAACACACACTGTCATCATCTCGGTACCAACACATGATCCAAGTATACCATCTGAGATTATAAATGTTTAAAATAATCCTGTTTCTCCTTTCAGCTGAGCGGGCTCTGGACACCATGAACTTCGATGTGATCAAAGGGCGTCCCGTACGCATCATGTGGTCGCAGCGTGATCCGTCATTGAGGAAAAGCGGCGTGGGGAATATTTTCATCAAGAATCTTGACAAGTCCATCGACAACAAGGCTCTTTATGACACCTTCTCTGCTTTTGGCAACATCTTGTCGTGCAAGGTAAAAAAAAAAAAGGTTTCCACCTGCAGGGGAAGAAACGTTTTGTGGTGAAGCTGTTATCTTACTCCTTTTGGTCAAAGTGTTTCCATGAAAAAGCCAGAGAGCTGTGGTTTTGCTTGACATTTAATGGTATTGCTTGGATTTGCCCCTCTTTCCTCATTTCTGCAGAACCAACAGAATGAACTATGCTGACAGATCAGTGTGATTGTCAGACTTTCTTTGCAAACCTTTGCAGTTAGGGTTTGTGAAAACATTTGCAATCGTATTTCTGAAAACTGCAGATGACAAAAATTAGGATTAGGCTTTAAATAAAAACTCCAACAGGTTTATATTTAAATAAAAAGTTGAAAATAGTTTTGATGAAACTAGACGTTTGTGGCTCTGAATGCCCTTGTATGTTTTATCTAGGCCAACACTGAGACTGATAATGGGAATGATGAGGGAAGAAAAGTTAGACACAATGAACACCTTTTAGTTCCTCTCAAATTTTGTAAACCAGAACCTACATCAGCTCTGTATTTTACTTGTGCTCCTTAAACTAGTGCCCAGTCCCTGATGTAAGCTGTTTTTTTATTCGGATCCAACAAAGAACTTGTTTTTTGTCTGGCGCTGGTGCCAAACCAGAACTGGAACTACTTTGGTGGAAAATTACCCGTTGTAACTTTTTGCAGTTTGCTCATGATTGATTTCCTGCAGTTGTTTTGTACACATACTTGTGAAAATACACGAATTGGCGTAGTCTTAAGGCCCAAATTAAAAAAAATTTCATGGAACAGATCTGTCAGATGCCATCCAACAAATAGGTAAATTTTATTGGAGGTGTGTGTGTGTGTGTTTGTGTGTGTGTGCCTGCCTTCAAACAGCATGTCTCTTCTCTCTCTTAGGTGGTTTGTGATGAAAATGGCTCTAAAGGCTACGGCTTTGTGCATTTTGAGACTCAGGAGGCTGCTGAACGAGCCATTGAAAAAATGAACGGCATGCTGCTCAATGACAGAAAAGTGTGAGTGAATGTATTCACTGGTTTTGCCCTGTTAATGTCTGCACTAATCCAGCACCTAAAACAAAAAAATAATGAAGTAATACTACGTCTGGTTTGAAAATTTGAAGATCCAAAGTTGGGTTTGAGCATTGACGTTGTGATCTTGTCTTTCCAAGGGTGATTCAGTAGATTTATTTGATAAAACTGTTTTAATATTTATATTATGAAACAATGACTTGTAGCGACGCATTCAGTGAAGTAAATGAAATACAGATGGACAAAAGTTTCTTTTTGTCATTTCTGAGCCTTTAGTTTTTTTTTTTTGCTAAATGTTTCTCTAACACTGCAGCTTTGTCRAATTCGGTGCACCCCCTTCAGTAGGCTGCACTGGCCAAAATAGCTGCAACAGTGATTCTGTAGGTCATGGGCCCCTCTGTTCTGTACTGTGTGCTCTGGGGATAGATATGTTCTACAGACAGAAATATTAATTATTCAGTGAAGTAAATGTAAAACAAACGGACAAAATTTTGTTTTTGTCATTTTTTTAACTTGTATTTTTGGCTGTTTCTTTGACACAGGTTTGTGGGTCGCTTTAAATCTCGCAAAGAGCGTGAGGTTGAGCTGGGAGCCCGGGCCAAAGAGTTCACAAACGTCTACATCAAAAACTTCGGCGACGACATGGATGACGAGAAGCTGAATGAGATCTTTAATAAGTACGGTAAGTCGGGGTGTGAGTGTACCAGCTGCTCTTTATTTTAACATWCACTTGTAACAGTGGTGGCTCATCTCCAACATCTTTTATTTAGGAAAYGCTCTGAGTATTCGGGTTATGACGGACGAAAACGGAAAGTCCAGAGGGTTCGGCTTCGTCAGCTTTGAAAAACACGAGGACGCCCAAAAAGTAAGATCTGAATTAAAATAAATTTTCAGGTTTTTATGCTTCGGTTTTTTTAATAACTACATTGAAACTCTTGCATCGGTTGGTAGTTTTTAATTCTTATTCCTTATTTCAGGCAGTGGATGAAATGAATGGAAAGGAGATGAATGGAAAGCTCATCTACGTTGGCCGAGCCCAGAAGAAGGTGGAGCGTCAGACGGAGCTGAAGCGCAAGTTTGAACAACTGAAACAAGACCGCATGACTCGTTACCAGGTCAGTTTCTCTGTCTGCTTTTAAACTGAGAAGATTTTCGATGTGATTTCTGAAAGCAGTCAAAGTGTTGTATTTATACTTTGGTWAAAGGAAAACTGCAGCTTTGTCAAATTCAGTGCACCCTTCTCTGTAGGCTGCACTGGCCAAAATGGCTGCAACAGTGATTCTGTAGGTCATGGGCCCCTCTGTTCTGTACTGTGTGCTCTGGGGATAGATATGTTCTACAGACAGAAATATTAAAGAYTTCAAGTTTTTATTCCCAGGCCGTTAAATAAGATTGATTGAAGATTCTGTCTGTTTATTTCAAGGGTGTCAACTTGTATGTGAAGAACCTTGATGACGGGATTGATGACGAACGCCTGAGAAAGGAGTTTGCGCCGTTTGGTTCCATAACTAGTGCCAAGGTAAGGCAACCATTTTTACTTTCCCAAATGAAGAAGTGGACTGACACTGAACTGTTTATTAATGACCATTAGCTGTTTTAACGCTGGATTATTTTTAGGTGATGATGGAAGGTGGGCGCAGCAAAGGCTTCGGCTTTGTCTGCTTCTCGTCCCCAGAGGAGGCCACAAAAGCGGTCACAGAAATGAACGGACGCATTGTGGCCACCAAGCCGCTCTACGTGGCCCTGGCCCAGAGAAAAGAGGAGCGCCAAGCTCACCTGACCAACCAGTACATGCAGCGCATGGCCAGTGTGCGCGCAGTGCCAAATCCTGTCATCAACCCCTACCAGCCCGCGCCACCCTCTGGCTACTTCATGGCAGCCATACCTCAGGCTCAGAACCGTCCTGCTTACTACCCAGCTGCTGGCCAGATGGCTCAGCTGCGCCCGAGCCCACGTTGGGCTACCCAAGGTGTCCGACCCCAGCGTAAGTATTTCTTTGTAACGCTTAATAAAAAGTGAAAGGAACATTTTTTTTTCCTGGATAAATTATTTCTGTGTCCTCAGACTTTCAGAACATGACTGGTTCCATGCGTCCGTCAGCACCTCGCCCTCAGACCTTCAGTACCATACGGCCTGCCTCCCAGGTCCCCCGCATGATGTCCACCCAGCGCGTTGGTCAGTTCTCTTAAACCCACATGATATTTCCTGTAACTGCACACCAGATCTGCAGAGGTGCTTGTGATTGTATTTATGTTGGTGTTTTGTCCCTTTCGGCTCATGCTGCAGCCTCTCAGGCTCCCCGACCAGCCACTGCAGCTGCTGCAGCAGCGGCTCCAGTACGTGGAGTACCTCAGTATAAGTATGCAGCAGGAGTCCGCAACACCCAGCCGCACATCAGTGCTCAGCCAGTCTCCCTGCAGCAGGTAGGAATGTTTTTTTTCTTTTGTGCAATAACCACTGGTTTCCTCTGCTCTGTATCTGAGGAGCATTTAGCTGTGATTTCAACTTGTTGTTCCCTGTGTCCCCCCGCCTCAGCCTGCAGTCCACGTTCAGGGACAGGAACCTCTGACTGCCTCCATGCTGGCCGCTGCTCCGCCACAGGAACAGAAGCAGATGCTGGGTAGGACTTAATTTGACCACATTGTGTGTGTGTGTGTGGATGCTTCGATTTCACTGCCCACACGACTGTTCAAGACTCTGTGGGTGTCGATGACTTTCTGATTTAAATCCTCTCTGTCCGTCTCGTAGGTGAGCGCCTATTTCCGCTGATCCAGAACATGCATCCCAGCCTGGCAGGCAAGATCACCGGCATGCTGCTGGAGATTGACAACTCTGAGCTGCTCCACATGCTGGAGTCCCCAGAGTCTCTTCGCTCAAAGGTTACTACTTTAGTTTTTTAATGTTGATCAATTTTCTTTGAAAGATGCACCAAGACTTCATCTTAAAAGGAGCACAGAAGTGAGCTAATGTATCTAGAATCAAGTGTTATTGAGGTTTAGACATGTGAGGAGTGGATTATGTGCAAACAAAGCAGTTGCTGTTGATGCTGCTAATAATATTCTTGTCCAGGTGGACGAGGCGGTGGCAGTGCTGCAGGCCCACCAGGCTAAAGAGGCCGCCCAGAAAACTGTGACAAACTCTGCTGCTGTCCCAAGTGTCTGAACCCAAGGTGGGATTTATTTTCTGTTTGAAAATGATTTGTAAATTTCATAGATAACTTGAYAARAATCTAGGACAGTTACTTTTATTACTTCTGATTGAATATTGCTTTTCTTTTCCCCACAGGAATAACAACCTTGAGATGAGCTTCTGTGCTAGAGAAAAGGCTTGAAAAAATGTAAAAACAAAAAAATACACAAAACAAAGTAAAAATAAGTTAAATAATCATAAAAAAAGAAACAGTTGAAATAAGTTTCCAACCAAGGTTAAAATGACCAAACGAAACCCTGGTCAGTTTTTGTTAAAGAGAAAATCCATAAAAAATAGAAAAAAATGCAATAAAATAAAAACAATCAGTTTGAGGAGTTTTAGAAGAGAATTCTGTGAGAAAATGTAATTAAAGTATTTCTTTCTGCTATTTTATCCCTTTTTAAAATGTTTGAATGTTTGAGCTGTTGAAGCCTGTTATTGTTTCTTTAACCCTTGCTTGCTTGAATAAAAGTTATAAAATAATTCTGTTATGAGACTTTTTTTAAGAGTAAAACTGTTCATGTTTAACTTGTTAAAGTTTAAAAAAATGTGTTGATCTAACAAAATCATTCAGAAATTCCAAGAGGGTAAAAACAAATAYTGCTTTCCCACAAAAGAAAACCAACACAAAATGAGTGTTTCTGTTTTAATTATTAAAATTTTAATAAATTTTCATATCAATGAGCACAGAAACATATTAGAGACTGCCTGGGCAGAAATTGGCTCCAAAGAACTTTAAAATATCAGCTGTTTTATTCATGGGCCACATTTGTTTTCAGAAAGAATTTATTGCACTTGATCCGGAAATTATCCACAATTTGGTTGAAGTGTTTCTCCATTTCGGCTAAAGCTTCCTTCATCTGATCTGGGACAGCTTGTAGCTCAGTCTGCTGGCGATCCAGGAAGCTCCTGTGGCGTGGAACAGATTAAATATCGTTAAATATCACAGTCCTCAGCTGTGAAMAACTACAGGTCAGGGACCAAATATTTGTATTTCAGAAATACTTCATATTCAAAGAGACAATCTGGTCATTTTTGAGCTGATCATTCAAATGTTTATCAGTCGTTGGTACCTGTCAGAGCACAGAGAGGAGAAATGGGCAGAAGTCTTCATCAAGTCTAGGCTAATGTTTAGCCAAATGGGAACTTAGTGTTAGTATTTTTCTTTTATAATGTGGGGCCACTGAAAATCCTGGGGTGGTAACACCAAATGTATAGGTTTTTTCAACAATCAAATCATCTTCTGATATACATAGGTTAATGTTATTTTTTAATTTACAAGTGAAATTACAGAAAGCACCATCACATGTTATTGATGCTTGTCTTCTAAATTTATATTTAAAAAGATAAAATGTACATATAAAACTAAAGTTTTTTTAGGATTTGCTATTTCCCTAATCCCCTGTGACCCATTGTCATGGCTGATAAGGTGCTAATTTGATGACTGTGAGGCAAAGTTAACTTTTTCTTAGTGGAATTTTGGTAAGAACGTAATAACCGTGAACTTTGTGTGTTGAGCATAAAGTGTGACATACTTAGCATCAACACGCCAGCCTTCTAGGGTCTTCATTTCCAGGTTCACTTTGGCCTTTATGTTGTCAAAGTACTCGTTCAGACTTGTACTCTCTTGCGGGAGCGGTGCATAGACTCCTGTAGATTTAAGACAAACAAAAAGAAAGAAAAAACAGTGAGTTTGGGTCATTTTCCCGTCTTATATAACTTGAATGAATGTTCATGATCAGAAACGAACCCGGAGCTGCAGTAAGAGCAACAACAAATGCAATGAGGATGAGTTTCATGGCTGCTGACTGGATGAGACCTACAAAGAAATTGTTTAAATTAATTATTTTTGCATAACTTACAGTCAAAACAGTTGCATAATTCATTTCAGTGGTAACAAATGTGTTTTACCTCAACATTGTTGGACATTACAAACTACTTGCCCTCAAATTTATCTTCAGTGCTTTCAAGCGTAGATATACACTTGGCTAAACACAAGGCTAATATGTCTAAAGTTGTTTAAAGGGAATTCTTTTTGTTTCTTTTTCTCTTTTTAAGGAATTATATGTATATATTTAGACTTTTGTCATCTGTAACAATTGTGGCTTCTGGTAAAAGTCAGTAAGCTGAAT